TTCCGACCCGGACAATTTTAGGGGTCTACAATCATTTCTATGAAAATAAGCATTGATATCATCTCTTCAGTACTACTCTTTAAGAGAAAATTAAGGATCACAAGGACTTTTTTTTTTTTGAAGGTTGAAGGTTGACTGAGGCTTGGTTAACAAAGGAGTGTGGTTTTTCAAATTAACAGGGTTCAAACTCAAGAGAGTAAAATGAACATGAACCAAACACTCCATCTTGCTCACTCTAAATATTCAACTCCAACTAGATCTCTCAGCCCAAATTCTTCCTCTAATTACACACCCTCTTTTCTTAAGATTCTCTGCCTAGATTTCAAGAGGCCCCTCTCTTTTAAGACTATTTATACAGGTGCTTGCTTATTTTGCTTTTGATTTGATTCTTTGATTTTTTTGATTTTTTTTTGAGTATATGATACTGATAGAATAAAACTAACAAGCACACTTGAATTTGAACAGTGAAAATGATGGAGGGTGACTCTTCCCTTCAACTTTGCATTAGTTTAATTTCACCACTTCCTCTCAACTTGGCAATTTTTACCAACTACCCCAACTTAATCCCCAATTCATTTTCATTTACTCTCAAGAGTTTGGTCAGGGTGATGAGTTGGTATTTGGGAAAGGTTTAAGGTTATTTGAAGGTTAAGGCTCAAACAGGTTTTAAAGGATGGATTCCATTATGGCTGGCTGTTTGGCTCTAGGCTTAAGAAGATTTCAGTTATTCACAATAGAATACCTTGATCCTGTCCAAAAATTTCTCACAAGAACAATCATTCAAGACTCAACCAATGCAAACACATATGCTATGATGATGGCTCTCAAAGTATAAGTGTATTTGATAAATGCACTGTTTAGTCTCTCTCATTCACCAGCTTGGGTAAATGCTCAATTACTGATCTTTCATGCCATGCTAATCAGATATCTCACAACTTCATGATCAAGCAAATTGGATGAGTACAACCTCAAAGCAAGCCTTACAACAAACCATTTTTAAGTGAATCAAAATATGTGTTTTTGTTTTTTGTTGATCTAAAAGCCATCTCATTTCCTACCTTTCAAAAATGATTTTCAATTTTTCCCATTTTTTTTTTGGTGATTGTTAATTCACAAAAAGTATATAAACCATCAGATAGTCCAAACAATTAACAAAATAGAAACTAAAACAACTTGAATTTAAAATAAATGGAATTTGAAATGGCATAAAATTAAAGTGGAACTTCTCTTCCTCAGAACGAGGGTGACAATGACCCTCCATCATCTCTTTCTTTATCATTGCCTGCTCATGCTCCTGCTCCCCACCATGAAGTTGTTCGCCTTGATCTCCACCCCCTCCAAAAAATATAGGATTGTCCCCAGGCCACTTTAGATGGTGGTGGTGGGGTTGGTGCAGCTGGGATTTTATGAGTGGCTTTAGAGCTTCCGCCTGAACCGCCACCTCTTGAACAAACTATCTGAAAATTTGACAACCAATTCTGGCAACCAAGTTAATCCACAGATTGATCATACAAACAAAACACAATTCTTCATGGGGCATAAGAAATGATCAATAAACATTCTAACATGTGAAGCACTAAAGTTATTTCAAAGCCACCAATGAACAAGCAAATATTTCTTATTTGCTTCCATGATCAATGATTTCACACTTTGGATAAAGAACACATATTCACTTAGGCGTTTGATCAAGCAATTGATGGACATGATAAGGAGAAACAACATCCATGTGAATTCTTTCCATGCAAGGCTCAAAATTCTTCACAAAATGGAACATTTCAGTGACCACCTTTTTCAAAGCTTTCATTGTGTTCAAATCAAATACTTTTCTCATTCAGGAATTTCTTCGAACACAAAACAAGCAGAAAATGAGAAGGCTCATGCATGTGCCATATGGAAGATTCAAACACCCAAATTCATGCTTTTCCCATGTGTGTACTTCCAATCCAACCAAAAGGTTCAGAAATGATGCAAGAGTATGAGAAAGATTTAAAGGAATGAAGAACTCACAACCACCTTCCATGCAACAAAGAAAAAGGGAAGAGAAAAGTGAAGACTTTACCTTGCAATGTCAATAAAAATGGAGTCTTTTGTGTTTGTGTGCACAATGGATGATGCAAAATGATGGTTTTATGTAGATTATGAAGAGAGGAGATGCAATGTGAGGAGATGAGGAGGTTTCTTGAGTGACAGAAGAAGAAAGATGAAGAGGTGGAGATGAGAGAAAGGGGAAAATGAAGAGGTGGAGAGAGGGGTTTCGTTTTTTGAAATTGACCCAAAACTCAAAACCTTTGATTTATCTCATATGTTTAGAATCCCCTTATCTTAGACTTGGCGCCAGGAAGTTGGCGTTATGGCTGTGGGCTTTGGAGCCTTAGCTGTGGGATTTTTAACATGCAATTGCCAAGACCGAAACTTGGCGCTAAAGCCATGAGTCCAACGCTGGAGCGGTGAGGGTTTGAAATTCTAAGGAAGTGGACAGAAAGTTAGCGCCATGGCTGAGTTTTGGAGCTTGAGCGTTGAGGATTTTTGAACTCAAAAGAGAGCTCCAGAGGGTTGGCGCTATGGCCGTGAAAGCCAGCGCTGGAGCGTTGAGTGTTATCTCAAAAAGTTTGATTTCCAGAAACTTGGCGCTATAGCCGTGGGCCTGACGCTCAAGCTTTGAAGTTCTACACATAAAAATTGGTTCACATAGAAACTTGGGGCTTTAGCGGTGGAGTTGGCGCTTCAGCGTGCAAGTTGAAATACATCTAGAAGTCCAACAGAGAGTTGGCGCCATGGCTATGAGCCTGGCGCTTGAGCGTTGGGACTTAGGATTTCATTTCTACATGGAAATAACTCCTTCAAGCATTCATTTGAGACCAGATTCATTCTTAGCTCTCCCTGAGCTTTTAAACTATACCATCATTCCACATTGGTACCTCTATCAACACTTAAAACTTCATACCCAAGTGTAACACTAATTTGTTTATGAAATCTCAAAACATCACAAAAGAATTCCATACTAGACATCAAGTTCAACATGTACTTAACCATCAAGCAATCAGTAGTATAACTCAGCCAAAACCCATTATAACACCACAACAACGTGGAACCAAACCTCCCTATGAACAAAGATATTTCACTGCACACTCCACATTATCAAAATAATCACAGACCCAACACCCAAAATAATGCAGCACCATTATCAAACAACAAAATAACACACAAAATCTTAACACACAACACACAAACAAAACTTAAACTAGATCAGAAATGTTAACACATTCCAAAACATGCCAATCATCAAGCAACATTCATATTGAAATCAAGAAATCTATGAACAAAAACTCTTAACTACTCACTATTCAAACTAAAACTTAGAATCTAAAACAGAAATTAAAACAAGAACATGCTAATTTAGTGTCTTTAGCTTGACAATTCAGATTGTTCATGGCTTCTTCAAATGTGTGCTGGCAGTGAATCTCTCAACTTCACCACCCAAATAGTGCTTGAGCCTCTGACCATTAACCAACCAAGTCCTTCCAGAAGCAGGATCTTCAAGTTCAATAGCTCCATATGATTTGACAAATTTAATCAAGAAAGGACCTGACCACTTAGATTTGAGCTTCCCAGGGAAAAGTTTCAACCTGGAATTGAACACTAATACTTGCTGGCCAGGTTGGAAGCTCCTGTTCAGAATTTTCCTGTCATGATATATCTTGGCTTTGTGCTTGTAAGACTTAGAGGACTCATAAGCTTTCAATCTCCTTTCTTCCCATTCATGCAATTGAAGCTTTTTTTTCTCCCCTGCTGCCTTCAAATCATAATTTAAGGCCTTCAAAGCCCAAAATGCTTTATGTTCCAATCCCACTGGCAGATGACAAGCTTTACCAATGACCTTTTCCAATTCTTCGTTAGAGATAGGCAAAGCCTTCTCTAGTGGCGATGAGCTCTTGAAATCATTTTGAGTTTCCAAGTACACATCATCTAATACATCAATTCTAAAGCAATCTTTGTTGCCTTTTGGAAACTTCGTTGTTTCAAATACATTGAAACTCACTTCTTCATCTTGAACTCTCACCTTCAGCTTTCCATCATCCATGTCTATGATAACTCTAGCTGTCTTCATGAAGGGTCTGCCCAATATCAAAGGAACTTCTACATCCTCTTCCATATCCATGACTACGAAATCAACTGGAAACATGAACTTATCAACCTTCACGATCATATCTTCCACTATACCATGTGGAAGCTTGATGGATCTATCTGCCAACTGTAAGGTCATTCTTGTAGGTCGTACCTCTACTTCTCCTATCTTCTTCAGCATGGATAAAGGCATCAAGTTAACACTGGCTCCAAGGTCCAATAGTGCCTTACCCACTGATAGATTTCCAATAGACACGGGGAGAGTAAAACTACCCGGATCTCTGGATTTTTGAGGCAAAGATTTTTGTATGATGGCACTACACCCAGCCTCAAGCTCCACAGTTTCTTCTTCAAGAATTCTTCTCTTCTTAGTCAAGAGATCCTTCATGAACCGAGCATAAGTAGGCATTTGTTCCATGGCTTCAGTGAAGGGAATATTTATCTGGAGCTTCTTGATGATGTCTAGAAACCTTGCAAATTGTCTTTCCTTCTCTTTCTTAGATGGGGCATGAGGGTAAGGTAAGTCTTTAATAGGAACAGTGGAAATGACTTCCTTGCCCTTCTTTTTATTTTTCTCCTTCTTTACTCCATTCTTCTCTTTTATTTTCTCACTATCTACACCCTCATTTTTATTGCTTTCTCCCTCATTCTTCTCAATCTCTTCCTCAACCCCCCTCAATTCAACATTTTCTTTCTTTTCATTTTTCTCACTTACCCCAACATCACTACCTACCACCTTTCCACTTCTTGTTGTTATGGCTTGGCAATACTCCTTGGGGTTGGTCTTGGTGTTGGCTGAAAATGGGCCTTTAGACATGTCAGCTAATTGTTTAGCTAGCTGACCCACCTGCACCTCCAAGTTCTTGATGGATGCCTCTGTATTCTTCTGGTTGTTCATAGATACCTGCATGAACTGGTTCAGAGTATCCTCCAATTTGCTGGTTCTTTCATGCATAGAAGGATAAGCAGGCTGGTGTTGTTGTTGTTGTTGTGGTGGTGGCCTATTGGATGGTCCAGCTTCATTCCTCCATCCATAACCTTGGTTGTTATTGTTGTTTCTCCAACCTTGATTTCCCTGCATATAATTGTTAGTATTATAATTACGGGAATTAAAATTACCTCCTTTTTGTTGGTTCCCCACATAGTTGACCTCTTCTTCATTTGGAATTTCTGAACAGTGACCATTGGGATGATCTCCTCCACAAAAATCACATTTTAGAGAAGGATTTTGTTGGGTTGAAGAAGAAGCAATAGCATGAAGCTGTTGTGGAATCTTGGCCATCTGCTTAGTCAGTGCTTCAATCTGTTGAGATAGCAGCTTGTTTTGTGCAAGGATTGCATCATTAGTACTGAGATCAAGAACTCCTCTTTTATGAGATTGGTGTCTCCCATGCTCTGCTTGGTGATCAGAAGATGCCAAAGATTCTATGATTTGAGTGGCTTCCTCTGGATTCACAGTCATCATGGTGCCACCAGCTGATGCATCCAATAACATCTTCACCTCAGGCTTGATTCCATTAACAAAGAAATTCAGTTGAGCTATATCTTCAAACCCATGGTTAGGACATTTTCTGAGCAATGACTTAAATCTTTCCCAAGCTTCACAAAATGGTTCATCTGCACCTTGCTTGAAAGTAGTGATTTCTGACTTGGCCTTAATATACTTGGATGAAGGATAAAATCTATTCACAAACTTGTTTTCCACATCACCCCAGCTTGTCAAACTTTGATTCGGGTGAGATTGTAACTAAACTTTAGCTTTTCCTATTAAAGAGAATGGAAACAACCTCAAATATACAGCTTCTTCATCACCTTCAGGGATTCCCATTGTTCCACATAACTTATAGAAATTTGAAAGGTGTGAGTATGGGTCCTCATGATCAAGGCCAGCAAATTGTTGTGAGCTAACCAAAGTAAGGAAGGCAGGCTTCATCTCCATGGCTCTAGAAGTATTTGGAGCTGAAATGCTAGAGAAATGCCTAGGACCATGTTGTTGTGCATAATCACCTAGGGTCCTTCTAGGAGGTCTGGCTGGTCCATGTCCACCATTATGAGGGCCTGTTCCTTCTTCAGCCATTTCTGTTTCAAGGTGTGGTTGATTTGATGAAGTTGAAGAACTTGGAAGATCTTGTTGTTGTTTTTGAAGTCTCTTTAACTGTCTAAGCCTTCTTGTTCTACTGTTGTTCCTCCTTGCCGTTCTTTCTATTTGAGGGTCAAAATTTAACTCCTCGGCTGGAGTTTTTCCTTAAGCAAATCTTCCATCATATTTATATTCGTCAGCAATTATTCGTCGATAATTTGCATTTTTCTTGTAATGTGCCTTGTTATCAAGTTTTTCTTTTTTCACCTGTGGAACGTATACAAGAGGGAAAAAAACCAAAGATTTTTAGATTTTGTAAATCTGGTTTGTACCCAAACCATTCTTCAAATAGGTTTTTTTGTTCAAAACTTTGGTTAGAAGCCTATTCAACAAGAATACAATTGTATTTGCAACCTTTGCCATAACTTTTTTGGCAACTCCTTTTCATGAAGCATACACCTTTTCATCTCCATGATACATTTATTTTTTTCTCTCGCTTACACTATTTTTTTGTTAAGTGTAAGGCACGGTAAGTTGATGCTCAATGTTAGCTTCTTCACAAAATTTATCAAAGATATCATTTGTGTATTCCATCATGTTGTCAGACCTTATTATTTACAACTTGCAATCACTTTGATTCTCCACCAATGTTTTATATTTCAAAAAAAAAATACTACAAGAAAAATTGTTATTATCTACAGAATATTACTTATGAAATTTTTTCCGTAGGTAATATTTAGTTATCTACGAAATATTACCTATGAAATTTTTTCCGTAGGCAATTTTTAGTTATCTATGGAATATTACCTACGGAATTTTTTCCATAGGTAATGTTTGGTTATCTACGGAATATTACCTACGGAATTAGTTATCTACGAAATATTACCTACGGAATTTTTTCATAAGTAATTTTTAGTTATCTACGAAATTTTTTCCGTAAGTAATTTTTAGTTACCTACAGAATTTTTTTCGTAGATAATGTTTAGTTAACTATGTAATATTACCTACAAAATTTTTTCCGTAGGTAATATTTAAGATTTTCTTTTTCTCACAATTTTTATTATATATATTTTTCTTTTAATACAATGTAGAAAAGAAATATGTATATTATTTTTATTTTAATATTTTAAAGTTTAATATTAGTAATAATTTATTTTATTTTTTAAAAAATTGTAATAAAGTATGTAAATAGAATACAAATTTATATTTCAATAAACTTATAAATTTTACTTTATTATATAAATCGACAAGTTTAATATTTAAAAAGATAAATAAAAGTATATATAATTTTAATATATTATAGTAAATTTAATATAATAATAATAGTAATAATAATAATAATTATTATTATTATTACTATTATTATTATATTAAATTTACTATAATATATTAAAATTATATATACTTTTATTTATCTTTTTAAATATTAAACTTGTCGATTTATATAATAAAGTAAAATTTATAAGTTTATTGAAATATAAATTTGTATTCTATTTACATACTTTATTACAATTTTTTAAAAAATAAAATAAATTATTACTAATATTAAA